GTCAGAGTATCAAACAGAAAACCCCAAGAAGCATCAAACATTTCTGACAAAATTCATGGTGCGAATTTGATATAACAAGCACTGGCTCCCAGTGCAACCTCATAAAAAGCTATGAAACACCGGACTTGAACCGGATGCCTTTCCTCAGAGACTTTACGCAACGCATCTCACTTGTTTCATTAATGAGACGGAAAGAAAGAAAAAAAAAAAAAAAAGCGGCAAGCCACTCACTTTGCGTCTACTTTCAATTCTAATTTGCTGGATTGATTGATGCTGAGGCTTTCTTTTACGTATGTATTGTATGGTCGGTCTTGTGAAGTTCAAACTGTTACAGTGGGTAGAACGCAAAGTAAGATAAGCGATTGATTACATAATCGAGCAAAGAAGGAAAGAAAACTTATGCTCCGTGAGATTTCAGTAAGCTCGAAACACTTTCGTATTAATACTGCTATTTATCTATTTAGGTGCAGTACGTTTTCTATTCTTTTCTGCAGATGTAGCTTCTCTTTTTGTTTGTATAGGTCTCATAAATATACCAATAATGAAATTCTCTGTAAATTGGTGGAACACTTTGCATCAACCTTCTAGTATTAGCCAATTTGGTACATCAATACATCTTTCTATGCTGATACCCAGCTTTTTGATGTTTACTAGCTTTTTGTTGTTAACTTTGATTTTTCTTCTGATAGAAACACGACAGTTTATCCTATTTTTTTATAGTTATTCAACCAAAAACCGGTTGAGTCATTGTTCAAGCGATTAATTTGAAATTGAAATTAAATATACTAAGGACATGTATGTTGAAATAGGTCATTATTTTTTCATTCTTAGCATTTTTGTTGCATTAGCCTACAAAAAAAATAATCTATCTTTTTCTTGTTCACTTTACTTTCTCGTTTTAACCTACCTGTATTTTGTACTTGACTGACTCTTGCGAGCCTCCAGGCACAAAGTGCAGCAATTCGGACATCTCCGTCGAATTGCTGGACACGAAGTGGTGGCCAAAACTGCTTCAAAATGTATCCTATTTAGAATCTYAAGAGAATCTAGTCTTATTATACGGTCAATATCAGTATACTTTGGTTAATCACATGGATATAAAAAAAAGTACTACTTTAGAAAAAGTCTCTATATCTCAGCAATTTTTTGTTTATATGTTGTACCCAACTCACTCTTTATGTGGTTGTTTGAATCAATTAACTTAGATTCATTGACTTCAGTCAATGAATAACTGTCTTGACGCCAGCTTTGGCTGGATTTAGGCTCGTCAGAGTTCAGATGCAAGAGGCGAATAACGGGAGTTGAACCCGTGTTTTCAAATTCACAATCTGACACTTTGACCTATTAAGTTATATTCGTCGTGGTCTCGACTCGCTCGAACCGATGAAGTGTTTTAGTCTGTCGAGTTTACCATTTTCACCAAGCGAGTATGCTCACTATCGGACTTGAACCGATTACCCGTAGGAACAGATTTTAAGTCTGTCGTGTTTACCATTTTCACCAAGTGAGCTTGATTTCAAACTAAACAGACTCAATCATGCAAAACACGGCGGGACGCCCATCTATGTGTTTGATGATTGATTTTCAAGAGTTTCTATGGAATCAACTATCACGATCGTTGCATCTTTCCATATTCTAACGGAAGATTCAGGGCATACTCACACGGGGACCAAATGAACCAAAATCCCAAAATTTGAGGCATTTTTGTGGTCACACAGGGTTGGCCCTGTACCCAAATGCCTCAAATCGTGACCAAATGCCAGCGGCCTGCGAGGCCGCGGGGGTACCCTTTTTGAGACCACCTCCAGAGGTGGTCTCAAATGACCAAACACTTTTTTCGTTTCCTTTCCTCAAATTGTAGAAAATCGTAGAAGAATAAGACAACCAGCCGAAGTTGTTTTTCTTTTCTTTTTTCTTTTTTTTCTTTTTCTTTTCTTTGGTGTCCCCTCGTGTGACCACACGACCTTGCCCTGAGTGCAAAGTGTCAGGGTTGCAACTTCGTCCTTTCCGGACGAAGTCCGCACGTGTGACCACACAGGGACCAAATGACCCAAATAACAGTACCCAGATGCCTCAAATTTTTGGTTCTTTTGGTCCCCGTGTGAGTATGCCCTCACTCTCGTTTTGCACAGTTTTCGAGAGTAGTGCAGCGAGGCCGGGTACCTTCTTGCTTTTCACTTTTTTTTTTTTTTTTGTTTGCTTTTTACATGTTTGGTGGGCAGCGCAGTGAGGGCGTCCTGAAAAGGAAAATGAACGGCGACCACCACCACCTAAGACGACCGCACTCAAGTACCGACGGCCCTCGAACTTCTCCACCTCACACACGACCGGTCCGTCTCCTGCCCCCGACCGCACCCTTCCCCTGCACCGCACGACGCCCTGTAAACCCCTCTAACTTGTCATCGACATGCCGGAAACGGCAAACGGCCGCTAGACGACAAAAGTTGTCACCGCAAAACGCAGCCTACTGGCTGCGAACAGATCTCCGAAAAAACCCAAGAGCCTAGCTCAGTGGGTACACCCATGAACTGTTGAAATGCAGACCCGAGTTCGAATCCAGATGATGAAAAGCAAATATTCCTGAATTGCCTGGGGGCGAGGCCGTCGCCCTTTTGAATTGAAAAAAGAAAAACAACAACAACAACAACTCATTTCCAAACCCGGCAGTACTCGCCACAGATCACAACACGACACTGTGTGACAACATTACCTACAAATAGCTCTCAGTACCCACCAACCCACCGCCCTACAAAGGCTCACAGCACAAACCGACCTACCCCCTAAAAACGGGGGCAACCCCTTATCTCCTAAGTGGGACTTTGCCCCCGGGACCGACGATCAGACCCTCATATGTCTGAAAAGTTCCCACGAGACATATGAGCAAAGCGGGAAATACGGACATCTCAAGGCCGAACCTGTTTTTTTTTTTTTTAAACAGTCTGACAGCTCTTGAAACTTTTCATCCTGGAAATCATCGAACGGAAGCACGAAATTAGGACGAACTCCCCGAAAAAAAAATAAAAAAAAATTAGGACGAACCAGTTCCTCACTTGACACTGATCCCTCCTTCCCCGAGCTCCTCTCTGCTGCCTCTATCGTCCTCAGCTTTCTTCCTTCGGCTTCGGTCGGCCGCGTTCCGCCATCCTATTCAATCAACGTCTCTCTCTCTGTCTCTCTCTGTGTGTGTGTGTGTGTGCGTGTGTGTGTGCCCCTTTGTACATAGAGACACATGGAGAGTTTATGAATTCTACATTCAGGCAAAATTTTCCGCATCTATGTGACGAGGGATTTACGATGGCGATGCTTAAAAATTACAAAGAACAATTGTATTGTTTGAGAGTTTTATTGGGGAATGTCTGCAATGCTCATTTGCCAGTACCGTTTAGGAATGAAATGACACATGTCAAAAGGGAGTTGAATGCTCTGGCGAGCATCAACATGCAGCATGAGAC